ATATATCAGCTATTTCTTGTGGGTCTTGTACAGTTTCATTTTTGTAGTGGAGCTCTATGTTTTTTTTTATTATTAGTTGGTGCTGAAGTCAAAATGCTATAGTATTTCTGCAATATGCTATAGTATGCTATAATTTTAATATTATTATTTTATGTCCTTCAAAATGCTATAGTATATGACTGCTCATTTGCGATACATTTAGAACACTAATAAATTTCAAGTAAAGGACATGTATTTGTTTATTGCTAGGTTGTGATAAATAACATTTCAGCAAACTTATAATTTGCATATATTCATATTTCAATTGATTTGTTTATTTGATGTAAATGATGACAATTGAATAATTTATTTTAGAAACCTGTCAAACGCCAAAATCTAAAACACACTTTAACTACAGATTACTGTTCCAGGAGGATAAATATTCTTAGTTTTCTCTAAATGATGAATTTGACGTTTGACAGGTTTCTGAAATAAACAATTCAATTCTGATTTACTGCAAAAGCAATGAATCAAATGATTCGTTCAAGGATTGGAAAAATAGTTTGCAAAAAAAATGGTGACATGTCAAAAATGTAATACCAAACATGTAGATAAGTCACAAATATTTTATGAACTACAAGACCTATATTAACATTAAAGTTCCTCAAAATCAATCCATCAATAAATTAAAACAAATTTTTGGAAGTCTTTTTGACTGCTCCCCGTCTGGCACATAGGACAACATTGCCAGCCTTCCAGTGTTAAAAGGGCCAGCAACAAATTGTGTGATGGAATCGTAGACAGAAACGGGATAACAATATGTACTTGTCAAAACCTAAGGATCCATTTCAAGATATTCCCTCCAGAAACACTCCAGTATATTTAAAAAACTTTTAACTTTTTCTGAAAGGTGTCTTTCTTAAGGGAAGGTAAAAAAAAATTAGTTTAAATAAATAGTGACACTCAAAATTTGAATTACAAATCCAAGCACAACATGAAGCTTGTCTTTAACCTTAAAGAAAGGAGGTGAGAAGCAATGAGAAAAAAATGTTTCAAGGCATACAAATAATTAAATACAAAAATGCATTGAACCCTACCAATTTAATTTTCAGTAGCATTATTCAATATTTACACAAGATGACAACAAATTGCCCAATTTTTATAGGATTTACAATCCTGTTCAATAAATGCTTTCCCACCCACTGAAGTTGCAAATGTTCACAGTTTTGGAATTGCGATAAAATCTTTACAGTGAACTGTAATGGGAAGTCAACTAAATATATAAGAACTTACTAGTGAATGTCCAATTTCATTCTTGCATCAATTTTTATAAATTCCTAAAATTACAAATTCAAGTGGTTTATTGAAGATATTCATTTCTTGTGGGAATATCAAAATTGTCAAGGACATGTATTTGAAATTAATACTGTAACATAGTTTAAAATTTGTCATACTTATACTTAAAATTTTTTATTCTTATACTTATTCTAGTCACAAATTAAGGGCACAGGGCTGAAAAAAATGGTTGGCAAATTAGTGTTTTGTAATCACAAAGACTAGATTTTAAGTCTAGTAGCTCACTTTTATTGTAATTTGTAAGTCTCATACGTGCTAACAGAATACTAAAAACAACGCAGATTAAAACATTTAACATCGAAAATTTTATTTGGAAGATTGAATAGATACAAAACCATTAACTTTTTACAACAAAGTATGTATATCATTTGAAACATGGACAAGTTTTACATTTTTGTCTCTTTATGGCATCACTAGAGAGCACACACATATTTGTATCACATGTCACAAACGCCAATGAAAAACCAAAAATTCTTATAGCTATTGATAACTAAGCTTTACAAAAACTACATTTGAAGACAGTGTTTTGATATTGTTACAAAAATACTCACAAAAAGTACTCTTTAAGATCTCATTTCTGGGATAATCCTTTTCTCTGCAAATAATAGATGTAACACAATAAAAGTTGATAAGAGATTTTTCATTTACGTTTTTATTCAAAAAGTTTGTTGTGGTGAACAACAAGAGATCATAGTTTGAACACTTCATTTTCTTCAACAACCATTCCAAATAACTATCCATTTTATTACACACACACACTTAACATTTGCCAATACACTGGCCAGTTTCATTTTACAATGAATACCTAGTTTGATTTATCAGAATCAATTGTACAATCAGAGTATTTTGGCAAATATGTCCCCAGCACTATAAAATAGCCTCAAATCTCACTTTTTAAACCACGTTGAACATTCTTGAACCAGTTTAAAAACTCTACGTAACTAAGGAACTATTCTTCCCTTGGATACGTATCTGCAATATCATTAGGCAGCCTCAGAACTACTCTTGCTTGAGGCAAATTATGCTGAGAAACTTGCCTTACCAAAGGTCTTGGTGCACTATTTTCAGGTGAATCAGTCTGGACTTGTTGAGATCTGGAATGCAAATTTGGGGAAGGAGCAGCATTTGGCCTTTGTTGAGTTGGCTGCTGACGGTTCTGAGGCAATGCATGTTGCAGCTGAACTGGTCTTTGAGATACTTGTAATAATGCTCGTGATGTCCCTAATGATACTGTTGGTTGTGTGGTTGGAGGTCTCGGAGTAGCAGATCCAGACTGAGAAGAATTTCCTTCCGCTGCCCTCGCAGTAGAATGAAGATTTGTGATGACAGTTGCTGTAGATGAACCTGCTCCCATTGGCTGAGAAGTTAAGTTATTCAGAAGCCGCCTTTTTGGTGGAACAGGTTCATCATGCGTCATCGTCATCTTCACTTTCTTCATGATCGCTTTCTCCTTCCTCTCCGTCTTCATCTTCTTCGTCCTCATCCTCCTCGTCTTCTCCGTCGTCTTCCTCATCCTCGTCATCTAATTCGTCCCCTACATCACTCTCCTCTTCCAAATCATTATCTTCCTCCTCCATAGATCCAAGAAAGCTCAGCAATAGGAGGTCATGAAAATCATCATCGAGGGATGACGCAAGCAAGGGGTATAAGTAATAAGGACGCATATCCGACAACATGTCAATAGTTCCTCCTTGTAAATGTAGCCTCTCGTCTCCAGTAACTACTTTCGTTTCAATTGCTATACTTCCTTCTTCTGAACATGACACATTAACCACTCAACCAAATAAAACAATTACATTTCGAAGTATACAAATCCTCGTGCCTTCGGAATATGGCATTCTTGACCCAGTGATCTCCGATTATCCACAACCACCTATATAACAACCTGCTCATACATCGTATCAAATAGAACATTGGCAGTTACACTCTACGAACATCATACAGTTGAACATTGGCAAACACTGAAAACCAGGATTCAGGACCTGGAGGGAACAGGAAGAAACCCGCAAGAATATTCAACTGACAAGTATGGCCAACACCCATTGCACAAATACTTCTCGAATGTGCATAAACTGTGGTAACTATCTTAAGTTTTTCACATTCTCAGAAATTCTCTACGCCTATATTAAACGAAAAATTGAAATAAAAATACACTTCTACGTTTCACAATGAATTATACAGTGATGATTACTTATATTACTAAAAGGTGATAATATTTATGCATTGGTGCAATGTATCAGACACTTTCTTTTGTCAACATTCTATAGATCGCGCTATTTCGTAGGATATTCTATAATAACATGGCGAATTACGCGATGTTTACATATTTGTAAATTTACCCTGATTATGTTACTTTTCGTTTCTTATAGAGACAAATTTAAGGAGCATTACAGTTTTAGTTAATATATTTAATAAAATGTCTCAAGATATTGATGCTAGGAGAAGTACGGCCGCACAATTTTTTATGGAAGATGATTCCGAGGAACAGAAATCATCTTATAATAAGGTATCATTAAATAAATGGGGAACAAATCTCGCAGGTTAAGACCCTCGGTACACGTAGTAATCAAATTTATTATGATTGTTTAACACAATCATTACTTTCTGTTGACGTGCTTACGTTCTCCTGTCATTTTGAAGGCGGGTGACTTTGAGGTTATAAGTAATATTTTTTCATAATAATGTCTCTTACTCCAATATTGTCGGAAATGGTAAAAAATGTATTATTTTAAAATTCTAAATACATATTTTTATCGCAGATTGTGGATTGGCTCAATCATGCTGCAGTTGCAACAGACAAGGTTGATACCTTAAGAAAAGTACAGGAAATCATCATCAATAAGGAAGAAAGTCTCCTAGATAACTTCCTTGAGGAAGTTCTTGGATTTCAAAATGACAGAAATCAAGATGTGAGAAAATTCATAGTTGGTTTCATTGAAGAAGCATGGTAAGTTAAGATAAAATGAAAAGCTTGGAAACTACTATTATATGGTTGCACTAAATATGCATTATAAAGTCTTTCAGCCACCAGCCCTTTAAAACCTGACCACTTTAGAGTAGCAAAGGGGAAGGAAGAGTTTGCAGTGTAATGACCAACGTTTAAGCTTTTCATAGCTGGTACCAAGTTTCAATATCAGCAAACCCATGTGGAATTTATGCGGGACAAAACAAGCTCCCAGCAAGGTTTATCATGGTTTCCTTTGCCTTTTATTTCACCATTGCTCCATTATCTTATCATTATTATTGCTGTCATCACATTACAATTTCTTTCATGGACCTCAATGAACTCAGCTGTTGGAGAGCCCCTAAACCCCAATAAATAAATAAATCCTAATTAGCCCTCTCTCTTGTATGTCTTTCAGAACAGTTATGTCCAGATTTCCACTTTCCACCTCAGATCCATGGTTCATATACTAGTGGATTTATATAGATGTTGTGTTCCAAGAGGGTTTGTACCAGCTTCTGTGGCTCAGAGCATCAATTGATGAGTTGTGTCTGGCCAGGAGATCCTATGGTTCAAATCTCAATGGTCGACACAATCTGTCAAAATCAGCCACTGTCCAGAGGAGAAGTCGAGCAGCCAGCTGCTATGATTGGTAGTTTTTTTCCAATTAGCACTAGATGAATGCAGGAGCAGTACCCCAACAAACAGACACGGATGGCACACGATTGTTCTTTGATCTTCGTTGACTTATCCTCACCTCTAATGTGCACAGACTTACATTTACATGCACTACACTATCACAGAAGCTGAGAGACCAGCTATGAGCTTCAAGCTTGTCCTGGCTGGGGTGGTGCCTCACCAGTGGGAGATACCTGGTTGGGGTAAACCCTTGCAAGCTGACATGTTGGTAGGCAGGATATCCCTTCTGGTGGGAGATGATCACTGCCACCTCCTGCAAGAAAACATGCAATACACTTGCGGTACTAATGATTTTTGCAGTTGACGTGCTCGAAATCACTAATCAATCACTCTAGAGGGTTTGTGGCTGGTTTCCTCAGGATTCTTTCATTTTCCCTGCGCCTCATTCCATTATCTACTCTCATCTTCGCAGGCTCTCCACTTCATTCTTCATCAACGTAACATCCCAACATTCATTCCATTCCAGGGAAACATGATGACAGCTGCATCTAGGATTTGGCAGAACAATTATGATCATTGCGAAGTCTCTTTCCATTTCACATTGTGTATTGTCAAAAGTATCATGCAAAGACGTAAAGGGGGGCGGTGACCCAAGGCCCAAAATCATGCTCTCCACTAACTGTAGAGAACTCTCCCCCTTCTCTTCAAGTGTGATTAGTTGTTTTTCCCAAATTCGAGTGTGCCACTGGTGCTTTTGAAAGAAGTAAAAAAGAAGTAAAAGAAAAGTATGAATATTCTCTGAACCAGGTCATTTGTGAACTTGGTTATGGACTTGCATGAATAAAAATTACTTTTACTTTTCAGCAAGAAGGATCCTGATGTATTGCCACGTGTGGTCACCAACCTGGCAATGCTCCTCAAGGACCAGTCCATTCAAGTTCAGAAGCGAGTGGTACAAGCCGCATGTGCTGTGTACCGCAGTGCTCTCTCCTGGCTGGCACATGCACGTGCGGTTACTGATGAAATGGAAACTACATGGAACATTGTGTGTGCTATCAAGGGACAAATATTCGGCCTCGTGGATAGTGACAATGACGGGTATGTACTTTATTAGTTATCTCCAAAGATTAGTTAGAAAGTTACATTAAAAATCTTACATGACTTCAAATTTTGTAATTTACAATTCTCACTTATCTGGTACATAAATGATTTACAATGTGGGATTATTTGCTTCATTAAAGATCAAAACATTTTGAATTATTGTATAAAGCGTATTATTATCATTCTGATGATAAACAAATTTTAATTTAAATGAAGATTTTCCAAAGGAGGTAGCATTTCTAGATTTTTAGTAAAATAGTTCATATAATAAACAAATATATGAACAAAAATACATTTTTATGATCAATTTGTATTGTTTATGTGAGAAATTAGTTCGAGTAGAGTATGTCACAGAGAAGTGAGCAGGGGAGTGGGCAGAGAGGTTGGGGGAGGTATAGAGAGTTCATTAAAGGGGAAGAGAGGGCAGGGAGGGGAACAAAGTGGGAAAAGGAAAGAGAGTGGTGAAGGGGAAGATAGGATGGGGAGGGAAAGAGAGGGTTGAGAGGGGAAGGTAGGATGGGAAAGGGAATATAGGGTGGGTGAGTGGAAGAGATGGCGGAGAAGAGAAAGAGAGGGTAGGAGAGAGAGAGAGAGATTGTAGTGAAGGAAAAGAGAAGGTGGGTAGGGGAGGGGAAGAGAGAATGAGGAATGAGAGGAAGTAGGAGTGTCTCCTTAGGCTCTCTCTGCTAAGTTGTAAAAAGCACTCTGAAATAAATAATAAAAATTATCAAAGAGCGATTTTTTCATGATTTGTGAAGGTTAGATATACCCCTTAAGGAAAGGCAAGAACTTCATATTTATTTTGCTTCTCTCGAACCATGCCCCCTTTCACTGAAAATACGTGTATAGGTGACTCCTTTCATACTACACTTCCACTCAAAGCCATCACACAACAACTCCTTCCACTTGGCTAGTGGCCTTTTAGGACACTTGCAACAGGACACAAAAAGCCCTGTTGCAAACAATCCAGGGTTTTGAATCCACTCGATCACAGCCAAACACCCCTGTCAGCACCCAAGTGCATACTGAACCACATTTATTCTTATTTCTTACCATCATAATACAAACACTGGCTGATCAACAACCCAAACCACAAAGAATCAGAGAAGTTCTAGAAACGTAACTAAGTGACAGAAACTTAGGTGTAACCATTTTGAGATTTACCCTATTCCGACAAGATTCTAGGACATGAAATATTTTAATAATGAATGTAACTAATCACAAAGCGTTAAAATTATTTACTACTTATTAAGTACTTTACAATGAATGGTTGATTTTTAATTATTTTTTCCTTCTCAGCCTGCGAACGCAAGCTATCAAGTTACTGGAAAGCGTGGTTCTAATGCAAACATATCCAGAGCCTGACTCCCTAAGAAGAGACAATGATTTTTCATTGGAGGATGTGCCACTCACCCTCAAGATAGCACGTCGACGCAAACTAGAAGAAGAGGCTCAGTGAGTTGCATTAAGAGACCAGTTTTGAGATAATTCCTTCTTTCACTAGAATCAACTTAAAAGTTGTTTGATTCAGAGTGATATCTAATTATACTGTAATACAGTAACATAAATTATATTTACATTGAATGTAAGATATCACTTGTAAATTTTGAAGGCTGTACCTACCATAACTGAATACTGAGCCAAAGAGAATAACTCTGCTCCTTTTCTCTTACTACCGATTTCACTACTTCAGTAGTTGGAGGCAGCATTTTAAAATTACCTGTTGGTATTGCTTTTATATTGGGATGAGGTGTACAAGTACTTGTATGTTAAAGGCAAATAATTTCTTAATATAAGAACTTTTTATTTTTAATTTTCATTACAGTATTTTGCAGTCTGATGTGACTGCATTTTCAGGTACTTACTGTAATTAATTCATAATCTTCTTCTAAATATCACATTCATTAAAATAAGGTGATTTAAAACAATGAACAGTTGAAACAAATGCCAAAAATAAAAATAAAACAAATGTTTCTGTCGCTATTCTGTGACCTTCCTCAGGGTTTAATGCCTTGGAGGAGGAAGGTCGCAGAATGGCGAAACCGAAACGTCGGCACCTTCGCCTTGGACGCGGCGTCACCCGGACAGCCAAGTAAATACTGACTCTGGCCGCGTAAGCCTACGTCCAAACAAATTCCAAAACTCAAATGGAGGCAACAAATTTTTATGCTAATAGCGATGTTTAAAAATAAGTACAATAAGAGCAATGTTTGAAATGTGAACTCTGAGCAATGATTGAAGTTGTGTATTATGATGTGTTTTTCAGCATGGTGTTTGAGCTGATGTTGAAGTTCCATGGGTCAATGCATATTAGCAGCGTCAACCTCATGACGTGCATGGGTTCCATTGCTCTCATTGCCAAAATGCGACCCCAATTTATGGGCAAAGTGGTCACTGCCCTGGAGACTCTCAATGGTAAATTTTGCTGCTTTAGGAACAGTTACTTCGGCAGTGTAATGGTTACATATTACTCATGCAACTTTTCTGTGACAGACATTAAATTACATAGAAAAAAATATTATCATATTTATTCAAGTATCAAAGTTATTTCAATTAAATAAATACTGTTATTGTTTCTGGTAATTAGTTGATTGTTGCTACTAGTCCGTTGTGAAAGTAGGTATTGTACAATGCCATTTATTTAAGATTCTCTGCTTATTGGTCCTATCTATCAAAATATTTGTCAGGCAAATGCATGCTGGATGAAAATAATATGTTCATGAATGTAATTCAATATTGCTAATACACATGGTAAAGCTTAGCATGTTTTTGCATCAGCATTTGCGTTTCTTGACATGGAAAGACATTGTTGAAATTTAGACTTCTACTGATTTGGCTTAAAATGTGAAGAAAGATGTTCCCCATATTTTTTGAAAAATATTTGAAAAACAACTCTTAAATTGAGGTGAATATAGTATATTATGGAGGTTTTAATCTGTTATAGCTAATTTACCGCCCACACTGTCCAAGTCTCAAGTGAGTTCTGTTCGGAAGCATCTGAAGCTACAGCTCTTAAACTTGCTGCGTCTGCCATCCTCAGTCCCTTTCCATAACAACATTACCACCATGCTGTCTGATCTGGGAGCATCTAACCAGGAGGTAAGTGTTAAGTCTTTGTGATGGTAGCTGTACACTTTTCTCAGCTCAACGGGTGAAATGCAAACCGTGGAGTGGTGATGTTCACTTCTTGTACTAAAAGATATAAACCCAAAGTGATCTTAGAAATACAACAATAATAATTATATTATGTCTAGCAATATTAGTAAGAACAATGTGTCTATTGCATTTTGTGTTGCACACGTCAGAGCATAAAAAAATTGGAGATTAAATATTTCGAAAATTAAATTCATAGACACACATTAACTAAAGAAGTCTGATAGGAGTATTCCACATAAATTGACCAGGTTTTGAACACTAGTACCTTCCCCCTCCAAAACGTGGGAAGCTGGTGTGCTCGTCACTACACTATGGTTGCTCAAATTTACCCCAGGTGATGAGGTGTTTACCACGCATGGAGGAACTGCGTCGCCATAAGAAGCGCCTTGCTGCTGCTGCCAAAGCAGATGCAAATGCTGCGGCTGCTGCAGCTATTGTTTCCTCTGCCGGTGGACCCCCTTCGGCCAAGCGACCGCGTCTAGATGCAGCTGCCACAGCTGCTGCTGCTGTTGGGGATGATGACGAATACGATGAAGATGATGATGATGATACCCCGAATAACATGGGTGAGTTAATCATTGCCTTAACCCTGCTCTGCGTGGTGCATATTTGAAACGTCAGTAATTGCAGTAAACTGAGAGTCTTCACTTACAATATATGTGTAAGTTTGGTAATGATTAATCCAACACAAATGCAGAAAATAAATTATTTAAACAATATGTTACTAGATGCATCACGTTTAATTGGGGGGGGGGGCTTGCTAGGAGCACATGCTTCTTAATATTTACTGCTCTTTTGGCTCTGTGGCGAAGTCACTTGCCTTTTACCACTGAGATTCTCGGTTAGATTCTCGTACAATCTCATGTGAAATTTGTTACGACAAAATGAATTTGCATGCTTCACAGGGGCTAGTCCAATCCCTGTGAAGTGTCCTAAACCCTACCCCAATCCTAATTCCTTCCCAATTCTGGCTGCTGAGTAGTGACACAGGGGCGCATAGTTGGAGGCGCATACGCGGAGATGCTACTTGGCTGTCCTCTTGACAACTGGCTGCGATGAGACATGACGGATAAGACATACTCTTAATGGAGGATTACGCCCGCACTAATATTAATGGACATAATATTACATAATAATTAATAAATAAATGAAATAAATAAATTATAATCACAGAATTAAGCATGTAACTAATGTTTCATAAAAAGGAAGTTTTAAAGTGCACTGTCACATAATACGAAGTAAAACAGGTCAATCACAAGTTAGTCAATGTTTATGAAGCGAATGTGAATCTACTGATGTTAGCCAATGTTTATGAACGAGTGTGAATCACGAATGCGAATGTGAATCACATTCCCACCTGTTACTAACTGACCCCCCCTCTGGCCAATTTGGTTGGGTACCAATATGTGTAAAAAATACTACTCACTTGACTGACCACATGATATTTCTGACAAGCACATTCTTTGCTAGATAAGAGGGACGTGAGAGAAGAACATGTGTTCTCTGATGTGACCCCTCTTGTCACCCTGAAAATTCAGAAAAAATAGCAGCCTTAATATTTGAAACAGAACTTTTATATTAGTTTTCCATTTAATTTTTAAATTATTGTTCCTTTCTCTGTAAGAAGTCATCTCCTGAAATATCCATCAATACTTTTTCCACTGCAAATACTTGAAGGTGGAATGCTCACTTTCTTTACAAATGTACATAGTATCTTTAAGGAATATTGTGCAGGCTCTTTTATGCTTTTTGGTTCCTTGTAGGGTCTGTAGGGATGAGTGTATCTGGAGGAGTTGGCAGCACAGGAGTTTCCGCATCTGGAGCCAATACAGAGGAGGGTTCTCGGCCCCTGCGACCAGCGACTGAACAGGCAGTGGACATCACTGAGCAGTTCATTGTAGAACGACTCTCACCAGAAATGGCTGCTCAACTTGTTATGGTGTCCATGGTAAGAAGAAATAGGGAAACCTTAATGTTTACATTTCAAATGAGTGTCTTGTTGATCATTTTTAATTTTTTTGAATTTATTTATTTTTATTAGAATTAAATTTGATTTCAAGATTTTTGAAAATATATTCAGTAGAGTCTCTATAATTCAATTTGAATTCCTATAAATCCGACTTAACAAAAATTAATTTTAATAAATTTCATTAAGTTGATTCGAAACCCATGTATGAGCCACAACGAAGGTCTTGCTGCATTAGAGGTCACCATGAGGTACGTAGAACTACACTTGAGGAAACTCCGGCCGACAATGTGATAATTTAGAAGATGGCGTGATATGGCCGCATGTAAAAGAAACGATGTACTTAAACAAAAAACAATTACATTATGATGCAATTAACTTATCTTCAGCAATTAATGTATTAATATTATGCAAGTACGTTTTTTATTGAATTATACATATTTTGAAATTTAAAAGGAGTGCTTATATTTCTGTTTTAATAACTTGATCATTTTCGATCATTCGGGTTTTCATCATTCAAACTAGACCCGGTCCCGTCCAACTTGAATTATGAGACTACTATACTTACATTTGTTAGCCTCATGGAACATTCGTTTTGAAATGGGAGTTTTTCTTTTCCTTCCCACAATGTTATCTTTCTGATCTGTCCTTTTCTTTTTACTCCAGCCTACTAATTTATACATTTCAAAAATTCTCCTTTATTTCTAGACTTTAAAATTTGTTCAGTACCTTTCTTTGAAAAAAAATTTAACTATTCCTTTTTTCCATCAGTATTTGAAGAACTATGAATTTGCTGGAACAGATTTGATTTCCCTAATTTTTAATTATATTTTTCTCTACTGCATTGTCATTATCCTGTCATCATAATTAGGCCTGCGACTTGATTTCCTTTGAACTTTCAAAATTCAAAAATTCTTTCATCATTTTCATTTTTCAAATTCTGTTGGTTGGTTGGGGTTTCTTTTACATTCTACAAATTTTCCCTGTCACAAATTTTTGAAGGCTTAGAAAGCTTTTCCCTCCTGCAAATTGATGCCTAACTCTCTACCTAAATGCATTCAATCTGTGCCCAAGAAACCCACTAAGGGCACCCTACTATCAAACTGATGGATGGCCCTGCCAAATGTATACACCCACTTTACCCCTCAACTCTACTGAGATAGCCCTTGTAATATTTTAAGTTGCATTCAAATGAGTGTGTATGTGTGGGGTGGTGATGGGGCGTCAACGACAAACCTCAGTGTAATTTTTTTTTCTCTTTTTGTAGGTAAGGATTTACTGTTTCATCATTTAAGACTTTTTTTTTATTTGAACCTTTACCAACTCTTTATGTGATAGTTTTATCTTTCAGCGCATATTCGATGTTAACAAAACAATTCAAAACCAACGCCATGCATAATAGCTTTGTGGAAACTCGACTGTTCTCTTTTAGCCATATTTCCAAACACATTGCAGCCATATTTTAGTATCTATGTATGTGAATAACAGTTGTGCAATACATAAAGAATGTTGAAATAGTTCTTCACTAAAAAAGGATGTTCTTATTTGTGTCCATGCGGAATGGACTGCAAGTAGAGAAAAATTAAAAATGTTTATGCCCTTGCCATATCCCCAAACTGAAAATATTTTAACACAAACTCGTAGCAAAAATGCAGTGTAAATGTATTGCTAAATAAAAGTAAAATTAGTGCTTAAATATATAAAATTTTATTTTGAATCTACTCTGGGGTCAGCCCTGAGAGCTCCCTGAGTATAAATTGTACCAGGGTTGCTTAGTACATGTCTTGGGAACCTCTGTAATATAAATTGTACCATGGTTATCCACAAAACTTTTAACAAGTTTAATTACAGTGCTCATTGTCGCATACTCCAATGCAGTTCTGTTACCCCAAACATTTGCAATTTGACATCACTAATGCTAGAACAGATAGCAAAAACACATTAGTTTGCTTTGAAATATAAACTCGTTTCCTCTTTGAAGAAGACACAAGAATATGGTCTCTGATGAGAAGCTGTGTGCTATTGCATCCATTCTTTCTTTCCAAGAGAAAACACATGCCCAAAGTGCCTACACTCTGTTATTATGTATATTATTATGTACATGTAGTATGTGTTTCACTGTGTGCAAAATGTGCAATGTACAAAATTGAAGGACAGAAAGCATTATGTATCGACATTATTGGGACAGATTTGCTGAGTGTTGAAATGCTTCTTTTACAGTCGAAGCTGCCAGATACAATGCCCCCTCATTTTAGCAGTATGTACACCCCAATTGCTGCAGCTGGAACTCAGAGCCAGATTCGACATGTAGCCAGACTCATGGCCACTCAGTTGACGGCCCTGGGACTTGGCCCCGGATTCTCACGTCAGCTTGTCAAATCAGCTGTGAAGGTAGGCCTAGGATAGTTTTGCAATTGCTTATTGTATGATTGCTATATTTTTTTGCGCTCATATTTGTCAGTGGTTAGAGAATAAAATGCAAAGAGACAAATTTTATTAAATCAATATTCACCTTATGTTCAGCAAAATTCAAATCTGAATTTCACTCTCTATGGAATGCAATGAATGTTCCTGAAAATCATTTTGTTTTTCGATTTAATTTGAGAAGTTCACTAGTTTCGATCCATTTGATTTATATCTTTGCGCCTTTCAGTGTCTACAGATGTCTCCCACCTCCATTTAAGACCTATTACCCTAAGTGTAGTCACCGTAGTGACTTCTACCTGTCATCCTATCCATCATTATGTATCTTGTGAACCCATACTAAGCATTGTATGTGCTTTTGCACTAAGATAGCTCATAAGGTCACCTCACTTAGTTCTGTATTAGAAAAAAAGAGTCAGGCTTCTCCTGAGTGCTGGCACTAGGCATGGGCATTTTGGGTGATCATCTGGGCCCGATGATGGGACTGATAAGGGAAAAAATGGTAAAAAATTAAAAAAGAAATTAGAACTCGAAATTGTTATCATAATTTTAATGTCGCAGAACAGTAGTCTGATATTTCATAAAATTATGAGTTAATTTTTTACATTAAATAGTTAATTACAGACATTACATATGAGATAGGACTCATTCCAGTATATCTATTTCAGAAAATGAGAATTACATTTACTATATATATGTATATATCTATGAAATGGAGAAAAATGTATGTAATCAAATAACATTAAAATAGGTTCTACTGAAATTCATATTTATTATTTCATGTCTTTAACAATTTTAACACATACCTGGAGGCCACTTGGGAGCTTACAGCTTGTCCCAGATGGGGTGGTGCCCCACTAATGAGAGATACCTGGTTAGGGTTAACCCCACAAGCCGATGATAGGTTGGCGCCGGATCTTGTCATCTAGCGAGGCAAGATCACCGCTATCTCCCGAGGGAAAAACGTGCACCTCACTTGGGACTAATGACCTCTGTAGTTTGTGAGCCCAGAATCACTAACAACCAACCAACAATTTGCATTTTTATACAAATTGTAATTTTGTCTCTTTCATGATGAAATCAGAAAGCTGATTAAATTGTATTACTTGTGAAACTTTTCTTGAACAATAAATTGACGAAATGCAGGTAGAATGGAGGTACTAGTTACGAAATCAGCCACTTGATTTTATGAAGCAATGCCAATCTCTGGAGAATCAGTCATGCCTTCACAACTTTCTCAATAATTTGAGTTCTTCAGTGCCTTCTCAACATTCTCAGGTGTTCGAGGTATCTTATGTGATGGATCTTTATCTGCTTCGGTCATTTCTTTAAATTTTTTGGAGAAAATCACGGACAGAAGTTCTTGTTTTCAACAGAAAAGGAAGCAAGGTCATCATTCAAGAAAAGTTGCGCGAGTATTAACAGTTACTCAAGCTTTAATATTTTCTTGAAATCATGTGAAAGAGTCTACAAATATTATCAGTGGAGAAAAAAGCACTACAAAATTGGGAAAATTAAGAAGTATTTCAGTACAAATTGGCAGCTAAAATTCAAGATTAAAATACATAAATTATTTGATAAACTATATTATACAAACAATTTTAAGACAAAAGAATGAACACATCTGCGTTTCAATTCTGTAGGATCATAAATTCACATTATTCACAAATTCAGATCAGTGTTACACGTAGGTTACACATAGGATTACACATAATGAACCTTATTTAAAGTATCTCTTTTGCTTGCAGGCATGTTCATTTTTTTAAATTGTCTCATATAGTTTAAAAAATAAGAGGTATTTATCCCAGGGAGTGATTGTCCACCTTAGAATATGATTTCTCTGGGAATTGATCCTAAAATTGTGTTTTTTTAGGGCTCTTTGATGGAAGAAGAGGATGAAGATGGCCCTGCTCCAGGCAGTAAAGCATCAATCGTTTCTGCCATCTCAGGCATCATTGAGAAAGACAAGGAGGCAGTGAAAGCTGGCTCTCTCATGCCAGGCATGACTTCTACCAAGGTGGGTAAACCTTCCATTTCTCACACTAATGGGAATTTTACAATTGGTTGCTGCTGTAACTGATTGATTGGTTGCTGCTGTAACTGAAGAACTAGTTGCTCCCAATTTTGCAAGTTAGGTTCTCAGTCAAAATTGATGGATTGAATATCAGATGCAGGTTCCCATAGAACAATTGTTACAACAAAATAACCATTCCAAGAGAGTTCAGAATTGTGTGACAATATATAATAGCAGCAAGGTCAAAATTGTAAAATTGGAGTAGATAAAGAAGCCTATTCATCAGGATTTTCTGGGTTGCCAAGACCTTAAGACCTAAATGTTTTTTTTTTTCAATCTGAACTTAAATAAATTTTCAAACTTGAATAATTATTAAGTTATTTTACACAACTTATTCAAATATTTGTTATATGTTGTGTCATGGGTTTTGAATTAGACGTGATTTTTGGATGATAACTATGGGTTTTAACATTGAGTTTTCTAGGCACAGTGGTTCACCTTCTAGTTGCCATCTTGATTTTAAGGTCATACACTCTGAGATAAAGAAATTTGATTGTTTTGCTGAACTAACAATTGTTCTTTTTTCTGTAACAGCTGACAAAGCAGCGAATCAAGACTCTGAAGCTGTCCGAAATCACCAAGCCTCTAGAACCTGAGGCGCGTGGGGAAATGTTAGCTGCAACAGTGCGTCGAATACTTAGGTCTGAGAAGCCTGCCCTGTTGGGAGGAGTTGCAGCTGTTCGCAACAAGATTATCACGACAATTGCTGCAACATACGATGATCTTGTTCGCAGAGGTAGTATATATTTTGCTGATTCTTTTATTATTTTCTTAGTGGGCACCTGGGTCAAAATACATTTTGTAAAATCTTGAAGTGAAGGATATTAACTTACGTATTTTATTGTGTAGTTGTTTAAAGAAGATATATAAAAATTGGAATAACCAAAATCATAATATATAGGGTAAATCAAGTCAGATTAAAAGAATGAAAATAACATATTCCTCTTAATATTAGGAATGTTATGAAATTCCTCAACCATATTGTCCTTAGAGGTAGTACATGGAGGAAGCACTTTGTATGATTTTTGTAGTGCTCCGATTTGATAAAAGGCTGCTGTACTTTATCAATTCACAAATTTGGTATTTTTCTCCTCTCATTTATTTCAGAACAAGAAAATTTTCTTTCTAGACATATTAAGCACTATGCTTACTTATTTTATTCTCAATAACAATTAATTTCGGAATATTATGGAAGAACAAAAATCATTAACAAACTGCTATGCAATAAACAAAGCATTTCTCAGATAAACAATATAATAAATGTTGGTTCATATTGCTGTACAGTTCATGAAATTGTTTGATTATATATTACTTTCAAAATGTAATGTTTTACAATGTCATCTATGGTGTGTCTCTTTTTTCAGAGGTTTTATATTTCCTACTGGAAGATGTAAGAGGACGCCTTGAGCTAGCTTTGGCATGGTTGTATGAGGAGTATGCCTTTCTCCAAGGCTTCAATAGAATGCCTACATTCCTGAGGCCAGATCCTGATGGCCCTGAGAAATCATACAACGATTTATTGTGTGCACTTGCGAGGCACCTCATTGACAAGGCAGATGCCAGAGATCGTGATGCGTAAGTTACTGTGAATTTTATACTACTGTTTTAAGAGAGTTTTAAGGCAAATGAGATGCCACTGTCTAGACCATCTAAATTATTCACTTTTTTTACTGTTATTCCTTTGTTTAAATTTCTCATTTTGGGGATCTTTGCAGACAACTGTAAATTGAGAAAATGAAATTGTTCTGATGAAGTGAGAATTTAGCATTTTATTGCTTGTAGTTATGATCTGGAAACAATTATTTAGAAAACATTATCAAATACTGCAGCTTGTCATGATTTTGGAGAAAGCAAAATCCTAAACAATTACTATAAATATTGACTTAAGTGATATTTTTTGTGTGTTACGGCTCAGGGCTTTCCTTCTTAGATCTGAGCTGAGAGACTCGATTTTTCAAAGTATAATTTTATTGAAGACATCTGTACAAGTTTTGTTTGGAATTACAAAAATGTATATTGTGGAAATAACCCAACTGAGAATCCTCAAGTCATAGGATTTATTTCCTAACATATGAATAATTTTAAAAGAAAACTAGAGCAGCACATAATGGAAAGATTAGAAGATATGTTAAAAAGGAGATGATCGTAATTCATATAGGATCAGGAACAAAAATCGTAAAAAAACACAATTGAGTAAATAAAACATTTTAATCAGAACTATTATTTATAAGAAACAAATGTCCAAGGTACTCCTGTATAAAATAATATAAAAAGTCACACAGTTTGTATTCCATTATACACTACACTTCACAAAACTTGTTACTACCGACAAAATTTGAATTTTAGCTGTATCAGAAAACAGGACACATAGGCTGAGATGGTAGGGGATATTGAATGAAAGGAGTCACCAATTTCCGTAATCATTTATTCTTATTAAGAAAAAAGTGTAATGCTGAATTCATGATTCATTTTCCAACATCTATGTGTGATTCTCCTGAAATGTGATGCTCTTTAGTGACTTCCGCTACAATGTTAATGGCCCCATGTTCCACATTACCACACTCTTGCCGGAAATAGTGGCCACTCTTTTTACTTGAATACTGTATTTGTAAGCCAACCTTGCAAGGGGGTACAAATGGACAGTCCATTCATTGAGAGTCTGTGAAGCATTAGTCAAACCCTTCTGCTTCTTGATTACATTGCTGAAAGGCCTGTAGTGAAAATCTGTTCTTTTGTATTGTGGAACAGATTCATTTAACAAATATCACCTTTTTAATTTCATCATTTTGCTTTAATTGTAGTCTTTTAACACGACTGTACCTGGAAGCACCCCTCATCACGGAGGATGCTACAGACCTCTTGCGCACCATGTGCTTAGACGAGTCCCGAGCTGCAGCAGGATTAGCCTTACTGCGTGAACTTGTGACACGGCGCCCACCTCGACAGTTGGTGTTTCTTAATGCCCTTCTTGTACATACTGCACATGAAAACACAGAGGTAAGTAATTCAAACATGTTCTTTTAATGTATCTGTGATGTATAAACAATGTTCTTGCTTTGAAGTTCAAATATATAATTGAAGAGAAATGAAATTATTTAAAGTTTTCAGTGAAATGATTTAGTATAAATTATTTTGTATTATTATGTTGTACAGTATTTGCAAGTAATTTCTCATTTAAAAATCTACTTTCTAAAAGGCACGAATGTGTTTAAATAAAGCCAAATATTAACATGTACAAACTTCTTTTATATGATTCTCTAAAGTATTAATTACAATTGTATGTGATCCAACTTCCTTAGAATTAATTAAGTTTGTTTTTATTTTATATCTTATTAGATTAGATTTTGAAAGTATTTAGATTTCATGATTGCTCATTTATTATTTCAATTTTTGTTCTTAAATTGTGTGTAAATTGGACATTACCAGTCTGTAATAAGCAAACAAAATAAACAAATTCACAAACTGTTACAGATAAGATCTCGAGCTATCTCCTGTGTGGTAGCCTTGTATGATCGAGGCGATCTCCGTTGCATCATTGAGGAATATGCCATCTTGTACCTGGGCTTTCTGCGCCTTCCAGCTCCTCCTGATGTGCTATTTGGCCCAGAAAGGGGGCGACCATCTCGTGAGCATGCAATTGCTGCTGCAGCTGCTGCGTCCGCAGGCCATGGGGCAATAGGACCCGATGGCTTGCCTGTTGGAAGCAGTGGATGGACTGAGGAGATGGTGCGAGCATGCCTCTACCTGTACCTCGCTCTTCTGCCAGTCAATGAAAAACTTATTCATGAGTGAGTGAAGCAATGCTTTGGGTTGTGCCTTTCAAACTTTTTGTGCAAATCTGAAATTATTTACGTATAAAGTGAATTAAAGAGTAACTAAAGGAGAAGATATTTTCTATTTAGTACTTTATCAAGCATTGATTACTCATGTAAAAGTATTATTCTGTTTTTGTTTCTTCTCTATATAAAACATCTATTTGTAAATTAAACTGGTGTTTATAGATTGGCACGTGTCTATGTAACAACAGTAGCAGATGTGAAGCGTACTATCCTCCGACTTCTGGAACAACCTGTACGCGGTATGGGTATGGATTCACCAGAGCTACTACGACTTGTGGAAGAATGTCCGAAGGGAGCTGAAACCCTTGTCACCAGGGTCATCCACATTCTTACTGACAAAAGTAAGTGCCATATTATAAAATCTACAGCAGAATAAGTAAAGTCCCCAGATGCATTGAATTAATTCTCTAGGGTGATACATTTGACTAAGAAATCTCAAGATTTCCAAATTGACAGCTCCCCTCCCCTCTCTCTCTCTCTCTCCCCCTCTCTCTCTCTCTCTTTCCTGCTCTTCCCCTTTCTCCCAACTCTTCTCCTCTCTTCGCTCTCTCTACCCCTCTCCCCCTTTTTTCTTGTCTGCAGAGATCCAGTGGGAACATGCAATGCTTGTTTGTAATTTACTCTCTTTCTACATAACTTTTATTCTCACATTGCTTATTTGTGAACAGCACCTCCTAGCGCAGAACTTGTGGCTCGTGTACGTGATCTCTACCATTCTCGAGTGGCTGATGTGCGATTCCTAATACCTGTGCTGAACGGATTGACCAAGAAGGAAGTTATTGCCGCTCTACCTAAACTCATCAAATTGAACCCTGTTGTTGTGAAGGAGGTATTTAATAGGTGAGTGGGATGCTCTTTTATTCCCCTAGTTAAATGGTTCAAAAAGAATATAAAACATTTCTTGACTTTCATGAAGACCACTTTGAACATGGCAATTTCCTATTCAAGAAGTTTCAGGGATTCTTTCATAAATTATTATATATTCTGAATTTCTATGTTTCATTGTCTATTTCTGTGCCAGAGTTATCCGAGACAAAATTGTAGATGCATGCATACATTCAAACATTATTGTAAAATCCTCTATATTTGTCTCGGGGATCCTTAAAACTGGTTTTAGCACAGAAATAATTGGTAATGTTCATCAATGACAGTGAAAATTAAAGTGTTCATATTGCAGGTTATTGGGAACTCATAATGAGGCTTCAAGTCACACATCGCCCTTGACTCCAGCAGAACTGCTTATCGCATTACATACAATTGACCCTGCCAAATGTGAACTTAAAACAATTATCAAGGGTAAGTGTACTTTTGCATTTTTTCTGTCTGAAGTGTAGGAAGTTTCCCAAAATCCCTCTTACACTTTTACAAAAATATTCATTTGCTTAACTGGCTGGGATTCTAGGTGTTTTTTTTTGTTCAGGAGCTAATTCAGGATCACAGTTACTTCAGCTTCTGTTACAAAAACTGTTTTTTGAGATTTGAATGTATTCTATATTATATTAATAGATGCATACATGAAATATTCAAAGGGATTTGTTCACATGTAATGAAATTAATTGTTAGTGAAAGGTCTTTTGAAAGAGTTCACTTCTTCTTTCTCTTGTGCATGGACTTGTTGGTTGTCTCCTTATGCTGACAACTACAGAGATTTCTATTCTCAAAACTTCACTTCTCTACAAGCAGATTTTTGGATTTTGTATTTGCAGTAAGGAATTCCTTTGCTGCTGCTAGTTCAAAACATTTTCAATGATAGTTGAATTCCAGGCAAGAAAATTCAAAATCTAATTTTGTCAAGAAATGTGAAAGAACATAATATTGTAGGGTAATTTGCATGGTAAAAGTGCACAACAATCACTGTTATTTTCCACCCTTTGATAATTCTCAGACCTCATCCAAGATTCAATTGTCACTTTCAAGGAAAAGGTTGGTGAGATTCCCACTCCTTGACTAGGCAGTATGAGGGCTTTAGATTGACAATGCAGAAAAATGTCTGTGACACCCACAGAAGGAAGATTGTTAATTCCGCTTTGCAACACAAAGCAATGCATTGCAAAAAGTAAGCATCGCTTACATTTGAGGAACCTCCGTAACGCAGTGATGTGCAAACCACTTACAGCCCACTTTTTATAATTTGTATGGTAAAGGGTATTTTGAGTCATCAGTATTCATTCATTTATTAGAATTTATATGTTTGAATATTTATATTATTATTTTCAATTTCTGTTTGAATTGTTGAAATCATGTAACCCTATCTTGAGAGGCAGTCGTTTTTAAGATATTCTTATGTACCAACAAAGTATATAAGCAACTGACCAGAAAATGTTAATGCATGCATGAGAATGAAATGAAAGATGAAATTATTTTATAACAGTTCCATAAATGAAATGGGCAATATTTAAGAACACTTGTAGCAATATAATACATTTTGATTCTAAAGAGTGCCATATTATTAAGAGGGCAAAAGATGCAAGGAATGGAAGCTGCCAGAAAGAATAGCAGTAATTAAGGTGCTGTCATTTTGACATCCACCTCTTATTCAAGTATTGTTTTCTTCAATATTATTAGTAGTAGGGCACAGGGATCTTGTGACTTTAAATGTATTTGTGTAGTGGATATTATGTGTGTTTTCAAAAGTTTTCATCAAAGCAACATTTTATTGCATACTCTGCCTTAAATGCCCCAAAATTGTCATATTGACAGCTTGCCTAACTGCGAAGTCATGCTTCTGTAGGTTAGTCTTGTTTTGCTCCATCTTGGTGACTTCCAAGAAATCATGTATGCTGTCTTCAATGAAAGACATTTCTTACAATGTTAGACTTACCTGAAGTGTTGATATTCATAGCCACAGTAGTGAAACAACGCATTATTATTGTATGTAGGTATCTGGCAATACAATAGGCAAATAAGAAGCTTTCAGTGAATCTTGATTCATAGCTTCTGTTTCCAATGAATCAGACATATCTTTTCTTTATTTCAATGAAGGAGTTTATACCACTTTTCAAAACTTCTCTATTGATTCATCTGATCAAAAATTCTCTATTGATTTTGAAGCACCCTTGATGAAGATTTAGAAGAAAAATTTTTGCTTCGTGAATTAAAATGATGACCTGCAGTCTTTGCACTCACAGAAAAATAATGTTCTGATGCTAATCGTTAATCAGTATGTAAGGAAATGCATCTAGAGGTATTGTTTGTGAAGCAAAAGTTTTAGAAATAATTGTGCCTATATTACAAAAAAAAAAAAAAATCTGTGTAAACAGGTATCATTGATCAGATGATTTGAATACATGACATAAAATGCTATGTAAGAGACAGCCATTGCAATTGTTTATCAAACCTATTGGGTTTTGAAGTAGTAAATTGTTGAATCGTTAAAGAATTCTCCCAAGAATAATTTACGGAAAAAATATTTTTGATTGATGCATTTGAATTGCATTCAAATGCATGAAGTTGGAAAATTATCCAGACAAATAAACAAAAAGCACAGAAAATAAACAATACAAACAACAACTGTATTTACATACACTTGCTAATTATACCATGTCAAAATACTCAATCTTCAAACTTAAAAAAATTGCTACCTTTGCTTTGGTAATTATAGCCCCACACTCATATGTTATACCAAGACTTTTTGGAAGAAAGTTGCAGTGTTTTACTGTAAAATTGGACATATATGAAGGTTAATAATAACTAGTAATGACACATTTGGGGCCACTACATTTCATTTAAAGCACATTTGGTGGCACCCCTGGCAGACAAACAGAATTTTCAGTTGCTTATCTCCAAATGTCCAATGGTTGGTGGTATTCACCCTGCAAGTAGGTGAGACTTGTGGTAGCTCTGTTCTTTTCAGTTCTGAAATCATTAGGCCAAGCAGGTATTGCCATGGGAACAAGCAACATCTGGGGATAACCGAAAAATAAGAGGGAGAAAGTGGTTAAAGATTAGTTTATCCTGAAGTATTCTATGGAAATATGAAAAAGAAAATGAAATTATGGACATCAAATGTGTTTTAATTTGTGTGATATTTGAACAGTGGCATGGGGTTTTCAACTGGGACCAAGGTTTTTGATCTCTGTATTGAGCTGGTGCCCTGCACCCACCAAATATCACTGCATGTGCAAACAATTGGCTTCTTCCTGACAGGACAAAATGTAATGTTCATTGGATCTCTGATGTTTTGCAGCCACTTCTCTGTGCTTTGCGGAGCGACAAGCTTACACACAAGAGGTGCTGGCTGTGGTGATGCAGCATCTCATGGAATTGAACCCACTGCCTACCTTGTTGATGCGCACGGTTATACAGGCCCTCAGCTTCTACCCAAGGCTCATCGGCTTTGTCATGAACATCCTGCAAAGGCTCATACTGAAGCAGGTGAGTAGGCTATTTGAGTGTTAAATGTTCTTTTTAAAAATATGACATTTCTTATTTGAAGATATATCTGCTGTTAATTGCTGTACTTTTTGTATTAATATTTATAATTTTTTCGCATTGGTAATAAAATGCAATAATGGCTTATTTTCAACTTTTTGGCAATAGCAAACTTTCAAGAAATATTTTTCGAAAGTCACAAAATAGAGTCTGATGGAATTTGTAAAATTAACTTTCATTTACCATTCGAGTGCTGATCATAAAGTCAGATACATTTTTAGATATTTATCTTATATCTCTTAGATGTGTTGTGCCTGTTAGTGCTAGGGAGATAAAGTGCTCATATACAATGTGTGCAGAGTAAATTATTCGATTTGCCTAATCCAAAACAATTTCCAACAATTCAAAATGTTTGTAGTGATGATAATGACAGAAGATGGCAAATAGATTTTAGACATGAAAACGGCACTAATTGCAAAAGTGTTTATAGGTAGAATTAAGAAATGGGTATCTTCTTTACAAGACTTGTATTTTGTAGTAATATATTCTATTTACTTGAAAGAATCTTCGATTATGCAAATAAAACCAGATGCATCCCGTATCTGTCTGATACAGTGCATCTGACTGTGTTACAAAAAGTACTGTGACTGAGAGAATTAACATGTATTTGAATCGTTAAGATTAGGTTATTTTAACAGATATTACCCAAAAAAACAATATAGTAAAACCCTGCTTTACTTCCCCAGAATTTGCATTTTGCTGCCTCGTAATCTGTTTATCACCAATTTACTAGTCCCTTCAATTCCCCTATATTCACAATGTAAAATTGTCCCTACACTTCCCTGCAATTTACACAGTTTTTCCTTGAGCCCTTGAAAAGTGTAAAAGAGAAGTTTTATTGTAAATGATTGCAAAAATGAGTTTGTTGATCTCTTTTTTTGTTTAAAAAGTACCTATCATTAAAGAGTTTCTGTTTCTTTGTTTACACTTTTTCCTTTCTCATATGAAATACATTGGTATCAGGTATGGAAGCAACGCAAAGTGTGGGAGGGTTTTGTGAAGTGCTGCCAGCGAACACGTCCTCAGAGCTTCCAAGTTCTTCTGCAGCTGCCTCCTGCGCAACTCTGCGATGTGTTTGAAGCATCTCCTGACTTGAGGGCACCTCTACTTCAGCATGTTATGAGTTTCACTGAGAACCAGGTGGGGAGCAATTCTGTCTCACGAAAGTAAACTAATAGATTCTAGTCACAAGTTTCATATAACACTTTCCGGAAGGTATGTTATATTGGTGTGTGATTGTATGAACCAATTATCATATTTTAGTATTTCGTAGGCTACAGCATGGTGCTTAACACTCTGCTACTTATAAAACCCGTAGGAGTGTACGGTTTATTTGTAATCCTTTTGTAACCTTTGATTACCAAAACATGAAGGAGAGAAAAGAAATTAGAAAATACATACAAAGGGTAAAAAGCATGTAATTTGTGCATCTTATATTTATACCAATCATACATTATGCCAAAATGTGCCAAGTAGTGACGTTAAAAAAAAAAAAGAAATCAAATGAAGAGAAGAGTTTAGATAAGAAACAAAAATTACACAATCCAATGTGTTGAAACCCATTTTGTGTTGTAAACTTTATAAAATTTAGCACCACTGCAAGGATTTCTTCACTGAGAGGTGATGTCAGGTTTCTATGTAAAACATTTTCTTCAGTTTCTATAATTCTGATGGCAGTGTTGGTAACCATCATGACACATAGTCCAAATGAACTTTGACTGCTTCTGCAAAAGCTTTAACAGGAATAGATAATTCTGAAAACATTAGTATCACTATCATCTCTGTAAAGCCTCGGTACCATTACCTGCTTTCTTTCATAACATTTTTAATAAGTCAATGCAATACTTGTGCATTGGCAAGCAGTAGAAGATGCTAATGTTCTTTAAAAACATTTTCAATAGGAAACTGATTGCATCAAATTTTTTTTGTTCGCGGGGTGTCAGTTTAATTCAAGATCAGATGAATGATGATTTTAGATAATTATGTGGGATATAACTGCCTTTGCGATGCTGTACCATAATCAGAAGAAAAATAAAAAATAAACAATTGTATGTTATGATGGGTTTTGGAATCCTAAATAATTACACTTATCATCAAAGTTGTCTGTTATTTGGAAAACATTAATGCTTTTAACACGGAAAACCCTTGACAACCTGCCGATGAGATAAATAAACAGAATATTGAGGAACATTTAAATATTTAATACCATATTCTTCAAATGCAATGGTTGAAATTTTGCCTTATGTTTCAGAGAGCTCACATTCCTCCTTCAACTTATGGACGTGCTGCTTGGAAAGAGGAGGACAGTGTCAGAAGAGTGTGATGATGAACAGGTGGAACCTGTAAGTACTTTTTTTGGTGAAAAACAGACTGAATTTTACTGAATATGTTACGTGTGCAAAGTGTTTTAATATTGTTTTTCTACTCCATTGTTTTAATTCTGTCGTTTCATGGCTGCAACCTGTTGTATAATGGTATTCATTATGATACAGGTTTCATTATAATACAGGTTTGTGACTAATCACAGAAAAGTTATTAAACCAAGAATTCACAACTTAACTTATCACCGAGATTCATTATAGTAAATGCTTGTGTGCGATTGTGTACATTAAAATTGTGGTCAATATTTATATTTATGTTTGTCAGCTTTAATTTATTTTATTATAGTATTTTTTACATTGGGAATGTTATTAAAATAAATTGGATCGTAATTTCACTTTAATCTATTTGATTAGTGAGTGGTAGTTATTGGAGGGAACAGTTGATTGACAATAAGATTAGAAGCCAAGAAGTCATTTTGTGTCATACGTTGCTGCTGTCTGGTTGTCCTTAAAAAATGGCCAATTCTTTAGTTTAAAATGTCTCGAGAATCAGAGGTGGAGTTGACCCCTTCAGAAATAAGAGAAAAAGCAAAAATGGTAACGTCAGAATTATTAACGCAATTTTTGTACTCCCTCGCAGGCTGACTGGTGAACCAGAGCCACTTTAAGCTGGTTAGGTAGGGAACTGTCCGCTAGGAGGTATTGGCTGAATACTGCACGTCAGCTGCCACGAGACAATCCGATGTAAAAGTTCCCATCAATTGTAGAAAAAGTACCGTATGAAACTCAATGGGTAATATCACAGTTGTGTATTAATATTAATACCCCTCATTACACCATATTGTACTATTTTAGAATTTGCATAATGTAAAAGTTATCAATAGACTGTTTCTTTATATGAATGGACTTCATGCGAAGTAAAAAAAAAGAAAGCTAACAAAAGGGATAAAAAAATGATGTCGTCACAGTTTTCACTGCTGTAAATAAAACATTTATTAGCATTTTATTATTTTTATTTTTGCTGTTTATTAGAATTTACATAGAGTCGTCACTCAATAACCCTATAGCTAATAGAACATATTTCCAAAAGTACAAACCGTATAAGATAGTATAAGATGACCCTAAATTTGGAATAGTCCTCCTGAGAACATTTAAATTTTTTAACTAGTTCTTACTATTTTTACTTTCTGGTATACTTACGCATATGCGGAGTAATATAGGGAAATAGTATATGGAAAGGGGTATAGGGAAAGTTATGTAATGCTGCGGAAAATTGATTTCGAGTTTTCAACGAAAATACAGGTTTTGGAGTTCCCTGATACCGAGTAAGGGTTGATCTGAGTCAAAGCTCTGCGATTTTAAAAATCATTCATTCGTTTTTGCGATACTTTGCATGAAGCCCCTGGGACATTTTCAATAAATGTCTCTAAATTTTTTCATTAAATTTCATGCAAGAACATAGTAAAATACACTTAGAAAAGTGGCATAGGACCAATTTTCATGGTGAACTCTGAGTTTTCGAAAATTTCAAAAGTTTGAATTTTTTTTATGTATTCCTACAACTACAAAATTAAAGATAGAGAATTTTCCTTGAAATGAAATTTGTTGTCCATAATTTGTTCTTTCATTAATGTTAGGTACATGTTTTTGAAAATTGTAGCAGTTTTCGCACAATATTCCGTGTGATTTGTTCCATTTCAAAAAATTACAAAACAAGATTTTCTCAAAAATGGCTCCAAATTTTTTCTTTAAACTTTTGGTAGAGATTGTGCTAAGTGCACTCTATAAGATGACATAAACGCCAAATTGCTCTATTCTTTTGTTTTTTCAATAATTACAAAGTTTTAATTTTTTTTACTTGTCCTGCACATCATTTATATTTATATTTGCATCAATTTGTTCATGTTATTATATTTATGAGTAAATGCCCTTTAAATAATATATTATGAAGTTTCTCTAAAACTCAACTGTTTTCTGTCCTCAAACCTCAACTACCTCAAACTTTCGTATTTTCAGAAATGCTTAAATGCCAATTGCTCAAAAACGTCTCCCATTATTTTCTTCAAACTTTTCGAAAGGATAGTGTTAATTGTACTCTTTAATATGACGTGAAGTTCATTTCTGGGTATTTTTTTGATTTTCAAAAATTACACAAATGTAATTTTTTTTTAAAGATTTGTCACAATAATATGCACATTTGCAGCAGTTTGTAATCACTATTTTTTATTTGTGGGTTAATGTGTTTCCAATAACTTCAAATGAAGTTTTTTGAAAACTCAAAAATTTTCTGTGGAAAAATGCTTCAAATTTCGAAATTTTCTGTAGTGCTTAAACACCATTTTCCTAAAAAGGGCTCCAAATTTTTCAAAGAGAATTGCCATTTAGGACAAGGTTTTACTATTCTTTAATATTCTTAAAATAATATTTCTGTTCTACTAGTAGGAAACCCAAAAATTAAGAAAATTTCTAAAAAGTGTACTTCAGGCTGTGATAAGTGGCAGCAGACACGTTTGTGGCAAGTTCGAATAGCTAGCTGAGACCAAAGGAAATAGAAAACTAATATGGGAAAGTGTGCCATTCGATAGCAATCTCTAGTTTTAAAATTGCATAATCTGTAATTGGCTATAAAATTTCTGTGTTCAAAATGTTAAAACTTATTTTCTGAGTTATTATTTACATAAAATCACCATAATCATGTTGTGTTTTCTTTTCTTTTCACTATCTTCTTGATCTTCACATGTATCATTGTTTCTTACTTATTGGTCCTACTTCCATACTTAAAGATTCTCTTGCATTTTTAGGCCCCTGTGAAATTTTTGTGTGGTGATTTTGTGTTCTTAAACTTTCATCCAATGCCACCTATGAACATTCTTTTCTGTTACCAGATTTTCTACCTGTACACTCTTGTTCATGGCATCTGATTCTTAAACAGAATATACTTGAATTTAGCATCATTTAATGTTCATGTGATATGGTTGTGATTTGTGAACTCTTACATCTGTCCCTCAATTTCAAGGGTAACATGGGAAACCGTGGCAAGTTTCCAAGTTTGGGAATTATTTGCTAAGAAAATATGTTTTTATCATCCTTTTCTGTGTAGATGTTAGAATGTGTATATCTATCAATGCGATTTTTTTTAATTTCCATATTTGCAAAATGCAGATTGGCACTCGCCGAGTGACAAACTGAGAGTCTGCATAGTCTCGCCTTTTTAGGACATATTTAATTACATGTAAGGCTTTCGTTTTTAAATATTGAAATTTACAAAGGTCTCTCACGTATACAATTCTGCATAACTCAGAAACAGCACCCATACAAATGTAAAATCTAGTTTTTTAAGCTCTTGTCTTACCTGTGGGTTTGGTGATGTAACACTTAGCGTATCGGACTGTTGTATCCAAGTACATGGATTCAAACCCAAACAATGCTGTGAATTTTTAAGCGAGAAATTTTAAGCTATTCTTTGTACTCTTTCCTTCAGGTGGGAAGTAAAGCTGACTATCCCATGTTGTGGATTTACTGGGTATAAAAAGATTCTCAGACGTAAAAGAAATCTCTGAGTTAAATTCAAAATGCCTGTTTCATTTCAAGAAAAGCCTGATGGCCTAAGCCTCAGCATGTAAAATAAGGCATCATTGAATTGTATTGTTATATTGTGCAATCCATAATCAATGGAAGGTGGCCTTCTATATCATTTTTGAGGATTTAGCTCTGCTGGTAATCCTCACTCTATTGCTTTGGAGGACAAAAAAGTACAAAATCTTGAATTCTTTATAGAATTCATTTGATATCTTGTCTGATTTAATAGCACAGGACAAAGTTTCTTCTTGTTAAAAAACATTTTTAGAATATGTGCTCATGCTAGACATACATGATGTAACATTCAACTCAGGACTGGGTTATAAAATTTTCAAAGTATGAAATTTTTACACAACTCCATTGAATTAAGAATATTGTATTATTCAAACTTTCTACAGTAGTAACAAAAATAATTTGTAGGTGATGTTTACCAATCAAGTCTTATCATGACCGATCATAGGAACATGCATCTGTTGTGTTTAAGGGTATCACCAGCACCACATTATTGGGGGAACAATTCAATAGATAAGACTAGGGAATCTCCTCCATTATACCCCATATACCGAAGAATGTGTGTGGGTGGGTGAGTTGGGGGGCTGTGACACTCACGATTATAATTTAATGAGGTCAGAAAAAAACATTCTCATGAAAGTTATCTTGCATAACTAAATAACTTTAGTGGAAAAATTGCTTTAAAGAAGAAAAAAATTGTTTGCTTTTAATGTCTACTTAAATTTGAATCTGCAAATGTTTGGAATCATAACTAAACATAGTTAGCAATCAACTTAATTTTGTTCTGTTTCAGCGGTCGCCGTCCGAGCTAACCATTGATATCAAGGAAGACCCAGAGAGTGAACCTGCACCGCCTGGTCTTGAATGATCTCCTGTGTGATTTATCGTTTTATCTTCGTCAGGCTCAATGACAAGTGTCATCATGTTGCCTATGCTTTGCTTCACCTATTCTTTCATGTTGCTGTTTCTGAACAGGTTATGTCTCATCAAGACATACATTGATGACTTGCAATTTTATGAGTTTTTTTTAATTCTATGAGTATTTCTTTATTTACGAACATGATATTTGCATGTTTGGTGCAAGTAATACATCTGTATTATAGCAAATTGAATTTAAAAACTAGTAATTATTTCAAATATCAATGTTTCATAAATCAGTTACCGTTGTGTGACTTCTTGAATGCATATTATTACAAGTTCACAAACGTGAGTCAAAATTAATAAATTGTTTTATGGTTATTGTTATTTCATGTAGAATGAGATTCTGTACTTATGTTACCTGTTGCTCTTCATTCATGGGTCATCTTGTTATTATTTTGTTCCATATTTTGTATAGATTGTATACAACATTCAAACAGATGTGTATTATTTTTACTCATGAGTGTCATTGTGTGCGAGTCTGTTGAACTCTTAAATGTTGATAACTTGTTATAAACAGTGTGAAAGCAAGAGCTTGCAAAGGGAATGCATTTTCTGTTCTTTCTGGTATTGTAAACAAAAAGACATTGAAGTGATATCGAAATATTTTACTGTATATTTATTATAAATAAATACCGGTTACGAAAATAAAGAGAGTATTATCTTTGTACAAATTGTTTTATTGCAGTGTTGCAATGTGAATTACATGAGATAGCAGATCAGGAAGAAGCTCTACATCATATTCAAAAAAAATATTAAAGTAAATACTGATATTATCAAAACTTCAGTTTTATGAAATTATTTTCAATTGCTAATTTACCTACGGATTATATTAACTGTCTATTTCTAAAGGGAATAACACAAGACTTTGTTAGTCATGAAATAAGTTGTGAAATATTACCATTTTAGAGATTAATGTTGATCAGAAGAAAACAGTTTATGTGTTGTGAATTTGAAATGTGTGCATAGGTACAAAATAAATGGCATATTTTATACTGAATTAAATGATTTCAAAATTACACTAGCAAATGCTGTTATTTTAGCCAAATTTGACTTGTTTTTTTTAAATTGGCAAAAGAGCCAAAACATCATTTGAACAATAAATTAAACATGAAATTTTACAGTTTTGTATAGCATTTTCCCAACCACTGACTAGTGAAAATATTCATTGTGTATTGTTTTAATATCTTGTAGTTTGATGCAGATCAGTTGGTTAGCGACATAAACTAAGATAAGAAAAGTTGGTACGATTTTTATCGGCGTCTGCTTTCAGGCGCGTTTTCATATAAAGGGAGAGGAGGGAATAAACGAATGGAGCCATTTTTGAAAAAAATATTCTAAGGGCCTCGTAAAAGTACCCCAAATTAAAAAAAACGGTTTCAATTAAGGAGCCGCCGAACATCAGCCCAGTTCAATTGGAGAATAATTAAATTTTGGAGAAAATCGGCTGAAACGGTTTAGTCGCTAGCGTTGTTCCATAGACACAGACAGACGTTTGTCGACAATCAATTTTTCGGTATCAAGACCATGATCTGGGTCACAACGTGTTAGGCCCACCACATTTAGGCAATTAATCTTTCTCGTATAATCACAGGACCCGGAATATATTTTTTTTTATGCCGGAATATAGAGACGCCACGCTTTTTTTCCCCCGCAGTATTACATAGCCTTTCTCATCTTAAGTAGTCCTCTCTCATTAGAGAGAACGAATTCATCACGTATTAATCTACAGAAATGCCTTTCTGATTGAGCGGAATATTATAATATAAAGAAAACAATAGAAAGAAGGAAGATCGCAACATCTGAATTACGTAGATCGAACAATGCACGTAGAAAACAAAACCACTAAATATTCATATGTTGACGCCGAATTCAGATTCTATTAAATTTGTCGCCTGCACGCACCTTGTGCGGTGTATTTTTGCAAATGTACATTCCGCCTGAGATATATGGCTATACAAAATTCTTGGGAAACTCATCATGAGGTAACTCAAGACCTTTAGATTGCGGAAAGTAAATTATTCGGAAAATGAAAAAATGCCATCCGCGTTACCCTCGCAAGCCTCTCTTCATTGCGCTTGGGAATCTTAACCTATTATAATATTTACGAATCTGTAATATTGGTCAAAAGTGACTGGCTTAACGGGTGAGAACATATTTTCATGCAATACTGATATTTAATAATTTACAACACACGTCGTAAAAAATCACGTTTATCAAGTGTCAGTATCAAACAGCTCACTACTCAGAAACTCCACATGTACGTTACTTTAAACGCACTGCAGATGACATTAAACAAATTAAAGTCGGTTCAGAAACAAAAATTTTAAGTTAAAAAGTAAATATTTTCTGCTACATAAACAGTCTCGATATATTAGAGACCTGTACTGATTATCAAAAAGAAAAATACGTTTATTTTTAACAAAACAGGTGAATATAATGAATTAATTTAGGTTGTATTTGTATAATTTTTTACAGACTTATAATGTTTGTAACACAATATTGTACTTCAGCTTTCCGGGTCAAGTGACGCCCCATCTCGAGTCAGGGTTTTTTTGTTCAGTTTTTCCCTTACATTGAGCAAGTTGAGCATTGTAGGCATAATAATAATTGTAATAGTAGAGTAGAATGTAAGGGTGAGATGCCTATTTGTTTAGCAATGCAGAAAAATCATTACTTGTCAATTTGTGTAACCGATGCAAATAAGTTGTTCTATAACTGAAAACGAAAATTACTAACCATTTTTCAAATATTGCTAATTTTAACGTTTTTTAAAAAATTAATTTATTTATTATTTATTATTTATTTATTTATTTTTTTTATATTATTTATTATTTATTTATTATTTAATTTATTTTATTTTATTTTTATTTATTTAATTTTATTTATTTATTTTATTTATTTATTTTATTTATTATTTATTTAATTATTTTTTATTATTATTTTATTTATTTTATTTATTTATTTATTTATTTATTTATTTATTTATTTATTTTATTTATTTTATTTATTTATTTATTTTATTTATTTATTTATTTATTATTATTATTTAATTTATTTTTTT